TTTTTTTGAAAAATTGATCACGTTATAATTTTGAAAGATAATCAATATCATTGTTTGTCAGCTGATTAATATATATAATAGTGCGTAAGATCTTCTGTAGATATCATGGATATGTCAAACAGATTTATTTGCCAATTAATTCAATGATTATAATAATGAGAATGTTGAATTATGAAAAACGATTTGAAAAAAAAAATGAAAGATAATGAGCGAATAGCAACAATGCAAAATAAAAATAGGGCGCTCTCAAACAAAAATAAATTTGTTTTAAATGTAGAAATAAATAATAAAGTCTCGCTCTTATCATTGATTATCAATGAAAACAACTACAGTGTAAGTACACGAAATTTTTCAGTTTACATATGATGCATTAGAATATTAAGGTTTAAGGATATATGTGAGTTTCACATTTCAGCTTCGTTGGAGCTGCGCTAACAAGCTTTTTCTATTAGAAACGGTTATTTTTTAAGGAGAAATGCTTCATCGACATCCCGATATACAAGCAGAAATAAAAAAGACTTACAGAGAAATGGAACATTTTACTTTTTTTAATTTTAATGAATGTGTCTAGTAAAAATCGGTTTCGTTCTATTAGAAATGGTTATAGTGCAAGGAGAAAGGCTTCATCTATATCTTCATGATGTATATGTGGTATCGAAGTTACACCGGTCGACGAAGTTATATCTTCGACGGTGATTGTTGTCGAAGTTATCTTTAATTCACTTATCAATAAATAGTTTAATAAATTGAATTTTGCATTGCTGAGTGGATGATCAAAAAATTGTTTTTTGTCAATAAATACTGTTCAGTTAATAATAGTGTGAAATAAATAGTAGTTACTGAGAAAATTTTTTTTTTCACCATATATTCAGGGATAGGACATTCAGTCTTGTAAATTATTTAGTGATAAGTGAATTAGAACTAACTTCGACAAATTTTTTCGTTCAAGGTTTAAATTCGATGAGAATCATTGTCGAAGTTATAATTTCGTCGACCGGTGTAACTTCGATATGGCATATATATATATTGTGTCTTTTTCCTTCTTTCTATTTCTACTTGTTGAACCATTTCCCTTTGAAAGAAAAACCGTTCCCCTCTATATTCGAGTATGGGCAATATCATATGATAGATAATATGTATATAGGTAGATATATTTTTTCTTCTTTCTTTCCATTTCTTCTTGATGTGTATGACTTTTTGTGCAGTGAAGCATTTCCCTATAAAGTAGATCAACTTCCCTCATCGACTGGTCCAATTGTCCACTGGTGTATTTCAGAGAAATAATTAGTTTTATCAAAGAGAAATCAAGACGACGAACAGTTAGAAGCCAATTAAGGATTTGGATTCCTCGATCCTGACTATCTTTGTTGAAATTTTATAAAACCGTGGTTATTATTGTAGAAAGTGTTTCCTGAATGAAAAGTAGCGAGTTCAAAATTTCTAGAAGCCGATTACAGATTTAGATTCATCGCATTTGTTTGTCTTCATTGAAACATTAAAGACTACATCAATATATGCAAGTACCTGACTAAATGGTTGGATGAAAACTTGAATTAATAGCCACAAACTCATTCTACCTTATACGATCCTCTCTGCAGTGGAGGGATTAAGTCACATAGGAACGCGTATAAAATGAGACTGAACAAGTTCTCTAGCAGAGATCTATTAGAGCACGCAGATTCTCTTTAATTGGAGTCTTTAGAAATCTTTGGGAATCTTGAAATCTCGAAATCTGCTTTTTCTCCCTTGGGGTGCGGGGTGCGTGTGGGTGTGTGGTATCCATGCCATCTTTAATGTTACCCACACCCACACCCAAATCAGTTTCACCATTATGATTTTTCAATAATCTATTATATCCTTTGAAATAGAATACTAAAATCAGGTATTCAGATAAACGTGATTCATGAAAAATACTTTTGATTTTATTTTCGTTGTATGAAATTGAAATGGGACATGCTGGTATGTATATTCGACCGCTTTATTTTTAAATAAAAGAACAATCATTAACAAAAAAAAAATTCAAATTATATATTTTATTCGCTATAGATATACGTTTGTTTGTTATATTGGACTCTCTGATCTAGATGATTCTAAAGGGACAAATATCTATTGTAATAACAAGTGTACTAATTAGTATGATAACAATGTTTTATTTGTTTCTTTATATGTGAATGAAAAAAATGATTAAGAGTAAATACCAAAAAAAGATTCTGGTTGCTGTTTTTTGTTCTTCGTTAGTCGTTTAAATTTCGTCATGCTGTTGCCATCATCAATGTCATTCACCGATGCTTCTGCTGCAGCATTCTTTCGAGCATAAATCTCTGCTAATATGGTTGGTTCATGAATGTCCTCGCCATTGCCAGGTATATTCAATTCCACACACAAGCGACGAGCATTTTCAACACTAAGTTTATCGAACTTGTGTTCGATTACCAGTCGTCCATCTCGTAAGAGAGCAGGATCAATAGCTTGAACATCGCAATTGAACGTACAGATGATTTGTTGATGCATGGCATCACCAAGAAGTCCATCAGAAAGATTGAGTAAATTGGACACAGCTTGTTTAGGTAGAAAGGTCTCTTGCTTTCGATCCAGAATAATATGTTCTGCATCTTCAACAATCAGAATTGAATTTGAATGTTGCATGAGAAACGACAAGAAATCAGGTTGCGTTATTTTCTGAAAAGA